GGTATGGTGGCTAGTGTAGAACCCAGGCAGACCACTTAAATTAGGTACCAAAAGTATACGTGTAGCTTGATGTACCCTCATTGTAACTGTATAACCTGAAGTTAATAAGTTAATAAAAAGTTCCTGGCCGTAGAGGTCACCTTAATGCCAAAAAAAAAATAATAATAATACTTTATATATAGCACCAACCTATTACTACTTCCACAGTATTATGCCTAAAATATTCTCAGCCAATACCTGCTTTGCATACAATACCCCAGACTCAGCTATGCACTGGCTTATCTGCCACAATCCACAAATGATTAGCCAAATCGTTCACCTCTCAATCTTGAAAATGGTTACTAAACACCTTAGTGACCAGACTTTAACACAGCAGAGAGCAATGATAAACCTTATCGAATCTCATACCTCCTTTAACAACATTCTTCTGTTTAGTCCCCAAATACATGCACTACCTACTACTTTAAAGGGACTTATTTTATCCCACTTGCTACAAACACTACAAGCAGTTAGTATACAACACAAAGTGGCAGCAGATATTATAGTTCAGATACTTCTACACATATCTACAGAGATCCATAAGCAAATCTGAAAGCCATATTGTGAAAGACTTGCAAAATGGAAAAAGCAGCACAACATACAAACCTTTAATCAAACTAAACAGACTATATATAAACAAGCACAAAGTCAACAGAAAAAACCTCAAAGATTAACTTACAGTTGTCTGTGTGGCCTACCAGACCAACAGCATGATAACAATAACTGCCCTCCTGAAGGGCAGGCACAACATAAATTCAATCAATAGTCAACAGCATGGATACAATTTAGCATTTCTACAAATCACATACTAACTATTAAAACCTAGGTGAGCTTGACCACTCTAGTAGGTTTAGATCACAGATAATTAGCTTTAGCTTTTAGTCTAAGCTCCCATTCTTGCATGTAATTTATAAACACTTGTTATTATACAGATTTAGTTTTTATATAGTTTCTATGTAATTACTTATATAAATTACTTAATAAAGATATGAGCAAGGCCTCACCTTAATACTAAAAAAAAAAAAAAATAGTTACTAGTAATATTAACAAGAATAAAAATACCAACACAAATACAAGCACTGTACTACTTCTAAATACTAATAAGACTGCCAAAACTATTATACAAAGACCTAGTATTCCCACTAACCAGATTATTATATCTGCTATTTCTATATCTATTACTGCTATTAGCACCACTACACCTAACTCTATTAACACTCTTGCAGATACTACATCTAATCTAAATACTAATTGCAAAAGGTCTAGAAATCTATCCAATATATTCCTAATTGCTATAACCTCTAACAAAGCCACCAAGACCCTACCAGATAGTACTTCTACTCTATGTAAAACTTTAGAAAGCCAAAAAACTATATCAAGACCAATCTATAGTCAAGTTTCTAAGATAAATCTTAAGCTTTTTACTACCAATACTCCAAAAGATGACATGAAATAGGCAAATGAAGTTTATCTCCAAACTACAACCCTTATTAACACACCCTTTGACATAAACTTATAGTTAATTAAAGCAATTGCTAAAGCATTAGAAACTTCAAAAGGTATATACAACTTTACAAGCTACAAGCTAACTACAATTCCTATATAGTACAAACTACCTAAAGCTATCTTTTTCAAGTTTATTCACTATAATACTAGGTTTTTTACTATATTTACATGAAACCCAAAAACTACTCTAGCCTATCAAAAAAAATACAATAACCTTTTTAATAAGGCTTTTGCAGCATACAAACAAAAGAATAATATTATACTTATTAACATTGCTACTCACAATACTATTCAGCTAATACTTAAACAATGGCTTATCAGCCAATATCTTTCAAATATAAACTTCTTTAAAACTACTTATAGGTCAATTTGCATAGCTATCTAGTATACTAGAGGGTTTCTGCAAATTAAAAGCATGGGTGAAGAAACCTTCAAAGAGATTAGAGCTAAAATTAATAAAGCAATTGAGAACAAGCTTATCTTTCTACTAGAGACTCCTGAACAGATACCTGAAAATATTACCAAAATATTACTCTTCAGACTTCTAATTATATAATACTTATATATAAAAGCTATTGTTTATACATTAATAAGAATTTTTAAAATTCCCAAGCTTTCAATTATATATTTTGCCAAACTTTCTCCATTGCCCTCTCACTACAATGGTCTAATATCTAATTTGTGTCAACTATTCTCTATCACCCAATGTTCTTCTTTACAACACCTTGCTCTATATAAAAAGAAGTTAGCAGATTTCTATATAGTTACTAAGATTCTAGACTTATATTTTATTTACTACTATCTAAGCAGCTATTATCTACAACTTATCAGGAGCTAAACTACAAAGTCTGGAAATTCTTTTCATTTAACTCTGCCATCTCTACTATATTACTAGCTAAAGTAATTTCTTAACTTAGAGAATATTACATATTTAAACTTCTACCAAATTACTTCTTTGTTATCAAACTCTTCCTCTCCACAAATACCAACAAAATTAAAACTACTATACTATTTAAGTTTCTTATTATAGATGATATAGTAGTTAAAGAATTTATTAAACAAATATTTTCCTACTACAGAGTTCAACTTCCACTTCTTTCTGAGATTATGCAAGCTAATCTAACTAACAAGCCAGCCCTACTAACAGCAGAAGCAATTACAGAACACCTCAATATTTTTCTTCCTATTACAACTACACAACAACTTATACCTAGTACCAACTTTTTCATAAATACTATTACTTCAACTAGCTTTCTGCAAACTGAATTCAAATTAATAAAGCCCTTCAGACAATACCAATAGTACAAATACAACCCACAAACAAATTCTTTCTAACATACTAGAAATTATAGAGAAAATTATCCAAACTCTATCTAAACAAGAAATTATTATCACATTTCTATTCCAAAACCAAGTAGAGATTACTCTGACTTTGCAAGCTCTCAGACAATTTTACACTATCTGAAGAATTCCAGACTACCTACTTGATCACCCTTCTCTTTCTACTTCTTTTTTTTTTTTTTTTTTTAATATTAAGGTGACCACTTAGGCCCTTGGCACTTTATTAGTACAAGCGGTTAGGCCATATGTCTGAAGACTTGACCATATGTTAAATCAGTATTACAAGAGTACAACTAGCTACATGTACAACTTTTGGTTATCTAATTTAAGTAGTCCACCTGAAGGTTCTACACTAGCTGCCATACCTGTTAGTTTTTATTATTATTGTGAAGCGTAGCGCTAATTGAATAAGCAGAGCGACGCTTTCCCAATATTACACAGTCCTCGCCAAAATACCAGACAGATAACTACATGCTTGCACGTGGGTGTCCATCGCGGTCATTTTGGTAACTTAGAAAAGCCGGAACGGGTTCTCGGATAAACAATATTCCAGAGAATGTTCATGATTACGTAATACCCACCAATCCCTACTATGTGAGTAGTTTTTTGCCTACTGTGCTACAAAAAAATGGGGTCCTTTTTGTTTTTTTCTTAATAAAAAATGGACCTTTTTTCATTTTGCACCCCAAAAAATGAGATTTTAATTAGTGAGTGGTTTTTAGTCATTTTTAATTAAGGAAATTTAATTAGTGAGTGGTTTTTAATTAAGGAAATTTAATTAGTAAGTGGTTTTTTGTCTACTGCGCCACAAAAAATGGGGGACAAAATGGGTGGTTGTATAAAATTGTTTATACAAAAACTCGTAAATTAAATCTACATTAGTTGTAAAAATTATGTATAAAGCAAGAATAATTATTTTCATATAATATTATCTTTATTTTCTTTCAAAATGTTTGTTTACTAGTAATGATTAGATAATAATTAATAATTATTTCTTAATATTCTTAAAACATTGACATTCTACCCTAATACATTCTGATTCATTTTTTCTATTTACACTAATTCTATCGCAATCAGGACATTGATTAAATTTATGATTTTGCTTTAAAAAATGATTCACATAATAAAAAAGATCCTTTTCTGAATAAATATTTAAAAGACAGCCATGTCTATGATACACGCTAATATTTTCATGAACACACCAATACAATTTTACATTTTTGCAATTTTTATATGTAGTAAAAAATTTTTGAACATGAGGAATATTAATAATTCTCAATTGAAACTTATCACCAACACGTAAAGGATTCGAATTCTAATGATTGTAGATACCACAACGATTAAGATTCTCATCGATTAGATTGAGAAATAGATTTGGTTAATTATCATCAGAAGCAAAAAAATATCAACCCCAATAATAATTAAAGTTTAATTTTCCACAAAAAGGACACGTATTAAAATGACTAGTTTTTTTCCTTTTCATTAGCAGTTGCTTCATTATCCTTAAGGTATTTTCGCAAGACACATTTTAAAAAAATATTAATCACATTATTATTATTGATATTTTTCACATGAACAATCCCACGTTCATTAATATAAAACTCATATTGATCATTGTAAATATACTTTTTAAAAAAAACTTGCGGATCTTGCAATCGTAAAGATTTATCTACTAACAAGTTCTTGACAGAGTTTTTACATTCCATGTTAAAAATTAAATTAATATTTTTTATTGTACGTACAGATGTATTTATATGTTTCAATTACTCAATTAGTAAAATGTTTTTGGTCACAGAAAGGCCCAAAGTGGGTAATTCAACATTACCCAATTAGTAAAATGCTTTTGGTCGCAGAAAAGCCCAAAGTGGGTAATTCAACATTACCCAATTAGTAAAATGCTTTTGGTCGCAGAATGAGCCAAAGTAGGTAATTTAACATTACCTGATTTGTAAAAAAAATTGACTGCTATTTTGATTTTGTAACCTAATTTAAGAAAATTTTGAAATATCGATCTTTTGATCCAAATTATAAATTTTTTCATAGTTTCTCAGATGAATATATAATAATTTAAAAATGTATAAATATACATATATTTATTCTTATTTAAACTAAAAATGCCTCCAATTAAATCTAACAAGCAAACTCTTCTAATACAAAATTTTGATCAATTTGGGTTCAAGATTAAAACCATTGTGCTAAGAAAAAATAAAAATGCTGCAAGACTTTTCTTTTTAAAATTAACAGATCCTAATAGTAGTAATACTGGTACTGAAATACCTAAAAATATTACTATCAAAGATTTTCCTGACCAAATCGAAGAATGTGAACCATGGCCAAACACAAATGACTTCTTAATTCATTTTCATAATATTTATATAATTAAATATAAAGGTGTTAAAATTTATCAAATGAATTTTGCAAAAAAAATTCTTATTTATAGATTTCCAAAAAATGAATCTGTATTGTTAACTGGTATTCATGATGAGATTAAAAAATTATGTATAAAGCAAGAATAATTATTTTTATATTTAAATTTATTATTCAAAAAAGATTATTGACATTGAAATTTAAGAGCAACAGAAAAAAAATGTAATATACTAGTCATGTAATAACTTATTTAATAAAGCCAAATTATTTATTTAATTCTTTATAATGATAATTTATCAAATATTTATTTTTTGTTGAAAAAATATCTTTCCACACAAGGGGTATTTAAAATTAATAGAGTTCGAAGCTTAACAATTATTACGATCTTAATTTTATAAATAAAATGTATTTTATTTTAATTGAGATTTAATATTTAAGGATTATAAAAATATTACAAAGGTTTACGATCATTATGAATAACAAATTTTTTTTCAGAATAGATACATAAATACATTGATTATTATAATAAACTTGATATTTATGTAAATGATCAATTAAAAATAAATTTGTTCCGGGAAAAGGAGGAATGGTAAAAGGTGCTGAAAAAATAGTATTATCAACAACCCTAATTTCAGAAGGAATTGGAGATTCTTTTTCATTGCTTTAGTAATATCGAATTTGAAGATAGTAATCATATTATCCTGTTAAAAAAATTGGTGCTGACCAATCACATCGCGTTCCTGCGAATCTTTTTCTATGAGAAATTGAACGCATAAACTAAACTTATTAATTAAATATTCACATGTAGTTATGATTATAATAAAAATATTTTTTTGCATTTCACAATATTTTAAATTTGACAATCAAAATACTTAAAAAATAAATAAAATGAAAATGAATTTAGACCTAAGAATGAATCAATTTTGGTAATCATAAGTTTTACTTTTTGAGGTATGATCTGAATATTAGTAAGTCACAATGTAATATGAACACGTATAAACGCATAAATTTTAATATGTAATAAAAACTATATAAATACGTTCTTTACTTGAGTAAAACTAAAATGGCAAACAATTATAGATTCCGCCAAATCATGGCAACCATATTTCATTGTATTCCTTGTATAAATTCTTTTAAATATAAGAAGAATTTTTCTAAAAAAGATAAAGAGAAACGTGAAGAAATTTTTGCTTGAACTGGTGAAGCTCCATTATATACAAAATGTCAAAAGAATCATTGGTGCTGCAAAATTGCTGCATGTATAAATTGCTGTAGGTTAAACAAATGTAATGATTTTATATGTTCTTCATGTAAAGCATGAGGTATTGATTGTAAACGTGTTCTGCCATGTACTGAAGCAGAATATAAAGAATTAGAAGCAAAAGGTCTTACTTACTCATCTGGTCAGCCAGAACCAACAGAGAAAGGGCAGTTTCATGAACAATATTTTTTTCAATTCAAAGATCAGCAAACAGTGAAGTCTGTTAAATCTTTATTTGGACATCATTCTATGAGTTTTCCAAAACGTTTAAATGGTGATTCGGAACAAAATCATGATTATAGTATGAAGCCATAGAATCATTGTAAGGATCCTCTTCATGCTAAAGATTGTCGTTGTGATTTTATGGATCGAAGCAAGATTTGTAATGTATGCATGGTTGAGTGTATTGAGAAACGTACTCGCGCATGTTGGGTTGATGATGGTGTTGAATTAGGCCTATGGGAATTTGGTTCATATCGATTTCTTTCTTCTCAAAACGAATTTCTTGAAGAAGACGAAATTAAAAAATGTCATTTAGAAGATATGGATCGTGTTAATCGAATCATTGAAGAGGGTATTTCTACACATGAGATATTGGAAGATATTAAAACATTATATCTACGATATTGGCTTTGATCTTTTCAAGATCATTTTTTTTTTAAAGAAAAAAAAGAACATCTTTTAACCGAAAAGCTTAAAAAATTTTGGAGACCAGTTACATTTTACATTTATGGTGAAGGTGGAGCAG